TTGATCCCAAATAATTAAATCAGGCCAACTGACCAGAGGTTTTTTTTAAACTAACTGTCCAATAAAACTGTGTTATTTCATATTTGCTTTCCTTAGATTCAATTTTGTTTCCTTTCCTTTCCTTCCCTTTCCCATGCCCCCAGTTTCATGTACTCTGGTCGTGCTGATGTATACTCCTGGGTCCCCAAATATGCCACAAAACATCATCCCTTGGTGCATCTGCTCGTGCTGGTCTCTGCTCAGAAGGAGATGGCCAATTGCCAGCTTATGGGCTGCACTAGCCCACAATGTATTTTATTTTGACGTCACTGTATTTTTCTTGTAAATTTGAGTCAAAAATACCATACAAAACTGCAGATTTCTGGCCTTGTTTGAAAAATGGAAGCGCTGACAATCTTATTTCTGCCTTTTTATTTTTTTAAAAAAAGATTTATTTTATTTAACTTTCTTCATTTATTTAAATTTGACCAAAGAGCGGGGGAGAGAGAGAAAGTGAGAAAGCAAGCCACCAGGTCCAGTACCAAGCCGCAGTCAGCCATGTGGGAGTCCAGTGCCCTTATTAACCACCATGCCATCTGCTGGCCCATTTCTGCTTTTATTCAAGGTAGCATCAGCCACAGTTGAGATATCACTGTCCCTTTTAGGTGGAGCATGGCACTTAGCTATGACTTGGTTGAAAGTACAAACCTGGCCCCACTCAGTCATTTGTAAGACCTGCTTGGCTTCTTTGGGTTGAGTTTGAGACTTCTGCCAGGAGATCGAGATGCCACAAAGAGGAAGAAGATACAAGCATTGCCCTCTAAGGCATATCTAATTAGGAAGATAAGGCATAAGTGTTGACAAATTAAATAAGAGTCTAATTGTTTAAAAATATAACAAAAATAACAAGTTATTGTGCTGCAGAAACTTATTAGATAGGCATGAGAAAAAACAATACGCAAAAGTAAGGATTATGACTTTGGAGACAAGGTGAATATGTAATGGTCACCAAATATTCACTATGTGCTATGCCACAATTCATTCCCAGTTTCAGCCAGCCCCAGATGAACAAGGAGGTCCCCAGGCATGAACTGGAAACCTTCCCATGTGGGTCAGCCTCACAGAGCAAGTTTTACTGCTTTGCCACCATCTAGCCCTTCTCTGAATCTTATTTTGCTCTTGTGATAATGGTTTTTACCTTTCATCTCTAAGATGGTTGTTTGTGGAGAGCAGTGAATGTGATGGTGCTTCAGAATCAAAAAGCATGAGCCAGCCAGGGGGTCCCATGGAGGGCTTACAAATCTGATTCATCAAATTATAGGGTACTGGTTGGGTCACATTAAATCGTGCAGCTCTTCTCAGTCTGTAGTGAGCTTATGAATCACTTAGGGATCTTGTTAAATTCTGATTTAATAAACCTGTGCTGGGGCCTAGATTCTGCATATCTAACAAATTCACAGGTATTGCTACTGCTGCTGGTCCCAGACCAAACTTTAATAGCCAGGAACAAACAGGTTACAATGCATTGTCATGTCAATTGTAAGGGTATGGATCTTTTCTTCTGTTTTTGCCCTCTGTTTACCAAAAATGTTAAGAGGCATCCTGGATTCTCTCTCCTGTTCTTCCATGGGGACTGTGTCTTCTTGGAACTCAAGATCTCATAGGAGAAGGGGGGCTGGTAGCTTAGGACAGGAGTCCAGTAGAAACTCAACAGAGAGACAGAGAGAGACAGAGAGAAAGTGAGAAATCATCCCCAGGGGGGATGGCTACACCGCAATCTCTTCTCCAGTCTCCTCTTGGGATTTGGGGCACTCACACACTCATACCCAGTGTGAGTTTAAGCCACTGGGTCCAGGACTTGAACTGCATTATGGCATCTGTTGGTCCTGAGTCTAGTAGACTTTTATTCATGCTACAAATCTTCATTAAGCACAGACCCTGTCCCCATTTCTGTACTAGGTATTGGGGTTCAGGCCTTAATGCATTTAATAATGCTCCCTTGTTTTGTTTTCAACTCTTATAGAATTATTTGGATATATGCTGCTAGATGTATTCTGAGGAATAAATGATGGACTGCCCTTTGTGTAAATAATGATTTATTTACTATTAATGTAGTAGACCCTGTTTACTACCTACTCAATATCAATTCCTCTCTTCTCTCTTGCTGATGGGGGCCTAGTTTTATTGTTATTTATTTTCTCATGTGTGATGCAGGGGAGGGCAGCAGTGGTGTGCTGGAACCAGCTCTCATCAACTCATGCTAAATTTTCAGGGTATTTGAGAATCAAACATATTAATTACTAAAGATAAAATTACATGAACTTATAATTTAATAAATTATACTAAAAAGTAACATTCAAAGCTCATAACCTTGTAATTATTTTACTGTATTTTTAAAGAATTATTTTATTTATTTTTATTTATTTATTTTAATTTGACCAGAGAGGGAATGAGTGAGAGAGAAAGAGAGAAATGAGACAGCAAGCCGCTAGGCCTGGGAGTCAAACCATAGTCAGCTATGTGGGAGTCCAGCACCCCTAACCACCATGCCACTGCTGGTCCCACTACATATTATTCTTCTCCCAAAATCCCAAGAGGAGAATGGAGAAGAAGGAATTGCAGTGTGGACATCCCTCCTAGGGGATGATTTCTCACTTTCTGTCTCTGTCTCTCTGGTGAGTTTCTACTGACCCCACTCTGTCTAGTGATGATGCACTGGTAACCTGAAATTTGCCACAGCGGAAATATTTCAAGGGGACTTCAAAAGTTCATGGAAAAATGGGATTAAAGTATATGAGTTTACTTTAGTACAGAAATTTTTTTTGAAATCCAAACTGGTCCTGTAGTGCAGTGGTTAAGTGCTGGGCAGAGGGGGCCAGATTCCACATGGCTGACCATGATTTGAATGCCAACCCCTGCCCAGGATCCTGATAGGATGGAGAATTGGAAGAAAAAGGATTGTCATATGCCCTATTAGAGAGGGCTTCATCTCTCTCTTTCTCTGTCTCCCTCCCCCCCTCCTCTCTCCCGTGCCTACACACTCTCTGGTATTTTTTTTTAAAGAATGGAAATCCAGGGAACCAGCAGTTAGCGTAATGGCTATGTTGCTGGACTCCCACGTAGTCAACTGCAGTTCGCGTCCCGGACCCGGTGGCTTAGAACTCATGCTGGGCACATGTGTTCGTGCCCAAGATCCCGAGAGGAGAATGGAGGAGAAGGGATTGCAGCGTGACCATCCCCCCTGGGGGGTGATTTCTCGCTTTCTGTCTCTATGTCTGTTTCTGTCTGTCTGGCGAGCGCGCACGCCTTGTAGTGAAAACCTCTCCAAAAAAAAAAAAAAAAAGGAAATCCATGAATAACTTCTCTTTTGTTTTTGTAGAAGTTTTTGTCTTAGGGTGCGTGTGCTCACCCAAAAGAAAGATAAACAGAGACAGGGAGAGAGAAAGTGAGAAATCACCCTCCGGAGGGATGGCTATGCAATAATCCATTCTCCCCTGGAGAATGTGCACATGTGACCGGTATAAATTTCAAACCATTGGATCCAGGACTCAAACCACAGTTGGCCATGTGGGAGTCCAGCAACATAACCGCTACACCATCTGCTGGCCCCCAAATTCATGAATTTTTTTTGTTTCATAGTACAAATTTTCCATGAACTTTTTGAAGACTTTAAAAAAAATTTTTTAACATTTATTTTTACGTTTTCCCACACACATTTACTTTACATATCAAAAAATGTTTGCTCATATGTCATAGTTCTTGACAGCTAATAAACAACTTTCAAAATTTCAAGAAACTGAATTTAAAGATAAATATAAAGATATTTATTATAATTTTGTTTGTGGCTCTATAACAGAGACAGTATGGTTTTAAATATTTTTTAGATGGGACCAGCATTTGGCGTAATGGCTATGTTGCTGGACTCCCATGTAGTCTACCGTGGTTCTAGTCCTGGACCTGGTGGCTTAGACTCATGCCAGGCGCGTGTACGTGCATGCCCAAGATCCCAAGAGGAAAATGGAGGAGAAGGAATTGTGGTGTGGCCATCCCCTCCCTTGGGGGGGGTGATTTCTCACTTTCTGTCTCTCTGCCTCTCTCTGTCCTTCTGGTGAACATGTACACCCTATAGCAAAAACCTCTCCAAATAAATAAATAAATATTTTTGAGAAAATATTTACATGTCAACTACTCAGACTGTTGAAAATCAAATACCCAACACACAATTCACACATGAACCTTCTCAATTCGGCCCTGCCTACCAAGTATTCTGTAATGTATCATCTGCTAGCAAAGATCAGTCTCTTTTTCTCTCTTCAAAGTCTTCCTCAAGATAAACCTCTGGTTGTGGCTGCTCTTTTGCAATCTCTACTGATTACAATGCAGGGCTGGAAAAGTCCAGGTTATTTTACAGTACAAATTATTTCATATTCTCTAATCCTCTCTGCCAGGCAGAACTGTTCATGGAGCCTAGCCATCTTTCCAAGAGCTTCCATTGGCTTATTTGAGATTTACCTTTGCTTCATAGTTTTCTGGTTTAATCTTCAGAAGATCTTTCATTCATCACAGAAAATGGTCCATATTGTACACCAGGGCTTTAACAACACCTCCCCCACCCTGGATGAGCCAGTTATTAAACATTTACCAGCACACCATGGGGTAACCCTACCTATAGCTTCAGAAGGAAATTCTAATCAATCTAAGTTAAACATGGTACTACATTGAGCATGGTACTACATTGAGCATATAACCCAATTCTGGCCAATGAGACATGAAACTTGTTCTCTAGACATTTTCTTAGAAGGCTTCCTTCTAAAAAGGAAACTCAGGGAAGGTATGAGCTGTTTCTGTTTCTGGCCAGGTAGTATCCTAGAGGTGACCTATCTAGACTTACAGTTGCTATCTCCTATCAAAGCAGGCTAAACATGCGTGTATTAACCTGCGTTTTGTTCTTTATTTTTATTTTTTAGACTTTGTGTTCAGAGGAAAAATTCAACATGTATTTTTTATATTTTCTCTTTTAGAGGGGACCCTGATAGATGTGACATCTGGGGAAATACTCCCCTACATTATGCAGCCTCCAATGGCCATGCCCACTGTGTCTCATTTCTGGTCAACTTTGGTGCCAATATCTTTGCCCTGGACAACGACTTACAGACTCCACTGGACGCTGCTGCCAGCAGGGAACAGAATGATTGTGTTGCTCTCCTGGATAAGGCTGCCACTGCCCAGAACATCATGAATCCTAAGAAGGTCGCCAGGCTGAAGGAGCAGGCCCAGAAGAATGCCAGGAGGCAAATCAAAGAGTGTGAAAGGCTCCAGGAGAAACATCACAATAAGATGGCCCGTACCTACAACCAGGAGGAATCTGGGACTCTTTCTTCTGCCAAGGGCACCTTCTCTAAGTCATCCTTTTCAAACGCTTCTGCTTCTGGCACATTTGGGTCACTGTCTAAAGGCATTAAAGACACGTTCAAGCTAAAATTCAAGAAGAACAAAGATACCGCAGGGAACATAGAGAAGGAAGGCAGAAGTGGACAGAGGAATGTGATGGAAGTATTCAGAGAGGAGGAGGAAGACTCATTCTCGGAGGACTTTAAGGAGAAGCTCCAGTTCTCAGCAGAGGAGGATGGTAGTGTGCAACATGAATCCATTCTCAACCGTCCAGGTCTAGGAAATATTGTTTTTAGAAAGAACAGAATACTGAGTCCTGAAGAAATCTCAGACAGACAGAGGGAGCTGGGATTTAGAATGCCTAGTGAATGGCTTCAGAGACAAGGAGCTGCAGAGGCTGAAGAAGCTGAGGCTGATGAAGAGGGAGAGGAAAACGGTCTTAAAGGTGATATGCCTTGGGATGAGGATGAAGTGGAATGGGAGGAAGATGCGGTTGATGCTACTCCCCTGGAAGTGTTCTTGCAGTCCCAGCACCTAGACGAATTCCTTCCCATTTTCATAAGAGAGCAGATTGATCTGGAAGCTCTGTTGCTTTGCTCTGATGAGGACCTTCAGAGCATACAAATGCAGCTGGGTCCCAGGAAGAAAGTTCTCAGTGCCATAAACAGAAGGAAGCAGGTGCTGCAACAGCCCGGGCATCTGGTTGACACCAGCCTCTGATGGAGAGCGTTGAGTCAACAGGGTATGCCCGTAGCCTCAGGTGATGCTGTAGCACTCTGGGGGCACTCCTGGCAACACTCCTTCTCTACACAGCGCCAGACCCTCAGAAATAGTTTCTAGGGTTTTGGAGATGCCCACTTAAGATTGGGCAAACTCAACTCTGGAAAATATAAGAGGACTTCAGAAAAGTTCATGGAAACATAACATTTATGTAGGAGTTAATTTTGGTACCAAAAAAAAAATCCCCTTTGCTCTGTGAATAATTTTCCCATGATACATATTTTCCATGAGCTTTTTGAAGACCTCTCCTGATACATACTCTAAGGAGACCTCTGCACAGGAAGATGGGATTTTCTTTCAATTATCCATTTGACATTTTTGAATAAAGAACTGGCCAAATGGATGACTTAAAGAGGAAATAAATTTTACTTTTCTAACCCTGGACTTAAGTTTTAATCTAGTACACTAGCCTGCTGCTTCCCTTTCTGATCCACATACCCTAGGGATTCTGTTTTGTTTTTAGTACTATGATGTTGTTTGTTGGTGGACACTGACATTCCCCATTGACTTGAAGCTCAGTGCCCAATTTAAATGCATCTAACCTTTAATGATGTTTACAGCTCTGTGGCAATGGGTCTATAATACTGCTTCCTGAGAACAGAGACCAGGTAGGAAGAGCGAAGTAATAAGAGTAATGAATGGAATTGTGTCCCACTTCCAGCCCTACCTCTACCTCCAAATTTATATGTTGGATATCTAACCCCCACAGTGACTGTATTTGGAGGCTAGGCCTTGCATGAGGTATTTAGGGTTAAGTGAGGTCATAGGATGGGGCCCTAATCCCATTATGATTTGTATTCTTACAAGAAGAGACAACAAGCATGGATGCCCAGAGAAAAGGCCATGTGAGGACACAGAAGGTGCTGTCTGCAAGGAAGGAAAGGTCTCAGGGGAAACAAAACCTGCCAACATCTTGGACTTCCAGCCTCCAGATCTGTGAAGGAAATACATTTCTGTTGTTTAATGTTACTCAGTCAATAGCATTGTTATGGTAGCCCCAGCAGAATAACATAGCACCTAAGCAAGAGGTTAGAGGAGAGGAAGAAAGCTACAGAAAAAGAGGCTCGCCTATTTAATGATTTTTCTAAGGGCAAACACCTGCTAAAACTTGAAAAAGAAATCTAGGTTCTTTGGAGGGAAGATTTTATTGTAAATTATACATTTTATGTGCTCATTAAGTACATACATATCTTTTATTTACTGTTGTCTATCATCATTGCTGTGTGTCTGAGAACTTATTGGTTTCATAGTACAAACTGGCTATCTTGCTGCTGCTATTTTTTGGAAGAAGAATCCCAAATTCAAACTGAAACCCTACTGATTAGCTAACCTTCTTTGAGTCTTTATAGCTAGACTTATATCCAATGGGAATAGCTGTTTAACTTCAGCTTGCTTTTTGATTCACATCTGTTTGGGTTATTTCAAGAGGCACCACTGAGGATATCAGCTTAGGGAGGAGACAGATGGTCAAATCTGATGAACAATTGGCTCATTCTTCCCCAGTGAATAGATTCAGAGAGCTTGTCAGTCATTAAATAAATATGTTGCATGGAAAGAAAAATTATGTTTACAAATACTGTATTTTGTTCTGGAATAAACTGAAGTTTTACTTGCCCCCCTCAATAATGCACACAAATTCAGTTGGCATATAGAAGGCACTCAGAAAAATTGTAGTCTGAACCTGCCTATATTACATTTCATTACTGTTGATATCAAGGTCTCTTCTTCACACATTTCCCAGAATCTCCCCAAGACACTTGCTCCATTTTCTGCCCCACCTTACATAATAAAGTCATGAGTCAGGTTGGAAGAATGACCCTGCACACATAACTCCTATCTGGTTTTTTTTTTTTGAGAGATTTTCGCTATAGGGCACATGCGCTCACCAGACAGAGACATTAGAGACAGAAAGTGAGAAATCACCCCCCAGGGGGTATGGTCACATCGCAATCCCTTCTCCTCCATTCTCCTCTCGGGATCTTGGGCACGCACACACGCGCGCCCGGCATGAGTTTTAAGCCACTGGGTCCGGGACCCGAACCATGGTCGACTACATGGGAGTCCAGCGACATAGCCATTACACTAACTGCTGGTCCCGACTCCTATCTGTTTTTCAGAGATGTTTGTCACAGGAGATTTTACCAGGCACTTTATGCATTTTGAGGTGTTCTTGGCCTTTTATGACTAACAGAATAAGAGGGGGTTCTCTCCACTTCTTAGCATCGATAATATAGTCTCTGCATCATACAGTGTTATAAAAAGATTCACACTCCATTATAAAAGGTTATCACTGTTCTAAGAATTTTAGATCTTTTGAACTAAACCCTAATCAAAGGGGTCTAAGAGAAGATGGTAGAGCAATATCAATGACAGAGATAAGAGGATTATGAACCAGGGTGAGTTTCTAATAATCATTGATCTCAGACCTCCATCCCTCAACCTAGATGCTCAGGATAGATCAATTCATACCAGCTGTAAAAGTGCAATAGAGCAACCCTTTCACCATGATACTGCAGGGAATCTGTAGGTTTTTGCCTTGCTAATATCCAGTATCCCCTCTTTTTAAAAAAATGAAACATTTTAAATAATTTTATTTCTTCAATGAGCAACAGAGACAGAGAGCACCCCAACAGGGTCTTGATATTACGACTACCCCCAACTTCAGCCATCTCTGGATCATGGGCATGGGCATACCATGCCTTCTCAGAGAGGTCATCAGATGCAAACCTAGAACCTTCCCATGTGGGTCAGCCTCCCAGAGCATCACATTTTACTGCTGTGCCACTGTCCAGCCCACCTCCCTCTTCTTCTGTCAGCTTATGTGGTCTGATGGGCTAATTCACCCCCAACTTCAAGGGTGAGCATACAACCCAAGTCTGGATTAAAAAGGCATCAGAACCCTCTGGACACTGTACTGGTTCAGGTATAGGCACATGGATAGAGCCTGGCCGGAGTAGTCCACCTCTTTCACGATGTTATGTTCAGGAGTGGGCATATATCCTAGATGGTCCAGTGAATCTCAGTTTTGGGAATTTTAACTATGAAGGAAGAGAATATCTATGCTAGGGTTGCTAAAGAGGCAACTTTGCTGTCATGACCAGGAGAGAACTTGCTTGGTAGGGGAATCAATGCTGAAGAAAACAGAACTAAGGGGCACAGAGAAACTGGATTCTGAGGATACTCAAAGCCCCTGGATATGACTGTAGCTGTGTACTACTTACTACCAGAGACAATAAATGCCATTCCCCATTCATCCATTCAGGTTAAAGTGGTTTGAGCTGTGGTCTCTACCACTTGTGACCAAAGGAATCCTGACCTATATAGAAACTCCATGGTTCCTTTAAATTCTAATTTGAAGAGGACACCAAAGGTCACCTCTTATGATTCAATTTATACAAAGTTTCCAAAACAGGCAAATCCATAGATTAGTAGTTTCCAATGGTTGAGAAGAGAGGTAAAGAGGGACCAGATTGCTTTTTGGGGGTGATGAAAATGTTCTGGAATTAGATAGTAGTGAGAGTAGCCCAAATATGAATATACTGAAAATCAATTGTACACTTTAAAATGGTGAGTGTTATGGTATGTGAGTCATATTTCAATTTTAAAATAGAAAAACATTCATTATAGTTCTTGGGCACCCCCTCACCCCAGGGAGTGAATGGAAGCACCTAATTCCTCTCACTCTTCTTCATGAGGAATAGAAGTTACCAAAACACATATTGCAGAATCAGAAAATGCTTTATTTCAGGGAAATACAAAAGGTATTCAAGGAAATACAAGGAAAAGGAACACTGTTGTAACCTGGCTTACCAGAAGAAATGGTTACCCAGTTTTGTTTTCCAACTACACACATGAATGGGGATCTAATATTTAAGGTAAAACATAATCAATGCAAAACTACAGTTCACTATGGACTGGGCTCCCTCGTTTGATCGAGAAATGTTGTGACAACCAGTGGCAACAGCTCTTGAGCACCAAGTTCCTTTGTTTTATTTACCAGATGACCAGGAATCATACACTAGTTTAGCTGCCACTGTGTCTTCCACAGCCATTCCTGGAATGGACAGAAATTTGATTCACTTTTTTTTATCAGAAAACTTTTCCTGAAATAGCCCAAGCCCCATGACTGGCAGTTTTCTGATGCACTGTCCATGTTGCCAATGCCCATCAGGATAACAGGGACTGGTACTCAGAGGTAAGCTCTGATGTAGACAATCTGTGATGGGCAGGTCAAGGCAGGGAATATGATGTTAAGCAAGAAATGCCAAGCAAACCAATTTGGTGTCTTACAAGCTGTAGTTCAGGGGTCAGCACACTCGCTGTGAAGGGTCAGGTAATAAATATGTTAGGTTTTGTGGGCCAGATGGTCTGTTTCAATTTCTCAGCTCTGCTCTTTTTAGTGGAAAACAGTTATAGAGCACAGGCAAATGAACAAACCTGGCTATGTCCCAAGAAAACTTTATTTATGGACCCTGAAGTTTGAATTTCATATCATGTTTGCATGCCACAAAAAATCTTTTTCCTCCCATTATATGAAAATGTAAAAGCCAACTCTAGCTGGCAGGTTGGTCTGAACCACCTTTACTATAGGCTACAGTTTACTGACCCTTGGTCTAGTTCAAACCCCGGCTCGAGCACCTCTTCTTCATGTTATGATTTCAAGTATTTCCCGTAACCCTCTGCACCTAGCACAGATACATAATAGGCCCCGAGATAAATCTGTGAGATGAAAGGGCATGCCAATGAGCCAAGCCTCATAAGTGAGAAAGCAAGAATTGCTCAAAAGGGTAGAGCAGGTTTCTGCAGTGTTTAGTCTCCATCAGTGGGCTGGCTGGCTTCAGCTCTAACATGAATTCTGAAACTTTTCGTCACAACCAGAGCTCATGGCACCAGATTCTGGATAAAGCGCATGCTGTTTTCACCTGCTTTCTAGTGCATGAGAGATTTTTAAAATATTTAACAATCAGTAAGGCACATAATGGGTGCTGGGTGGCCAGAGTACTCAGTGCTCTGCTCAGCGTTGAGGCTTGCGGTGCTTGATCACGAAGGAGCATGGAAGATCTTTCAAAAGGGATGTAGGCTACTCTTGAGGGCTCAGGGTACCAACTATGTACCAACCAGTCTGGGGGTAATATCAACAGTTCGTGAAAAATGCTTTTATGAAAAAACTATGCCTGGATTTCAAAGTTTTTTGCACCAGAATAAACTCATACTCTGATTCAAGTTTTCAATGGATTTTTTTTGAAGTCCCCTCATATTTACATATTATCAGCTGAATATTGACCATGTTTCTATGTACTTCTGTTATATTAAATCTAGCTGAGTGGAAAAGTTAGGTCAAGGGCCAGATCCTTTGTTGGGCTTCTAACCGTACCAACTCAGGTGATATGGGGCTCCCAAGGAAGCCCTCTTCAAAGCAGCATGTGGGAGAGCGGGGAAGGAGGTAACAAAGAGGTCTCAGGCTAGATTTCTTGTCTGAATCTCTTTCAGGATGTATCTGTCATTTCCCATAAGCTCCCTGTCTGACAAGTTACAACTGTTACAAGTTACTGTTGTCACTTGCTATGTGTTTATTGTATGTTATGTGTAAATTCACATGCACATCCCAATTAATCCTCACAACTTAAGGTAACAGGTAGAAACTGGCTCAGAAAGCTCGGCTCACTTGCCTAAGGACATGTCAGTGAGGGGCAGAAAAGGGACTCCAATCCAGGACTGCCCAACTCTAGAATCCCTGGGCTTACCCATGACACTAAGCCACGTAAATAATTGACCTGAATGATGGACTTCACAAGGAATGGTGACTCATGCCTCTTTCTGCCAATCCATCATCCTGCCTTGTGCTCTGGTTGGCACTGTGCCCAGGGAGCAATGGATCTTACCCAAAGACTTGAACACTGTGGTCTTCTCACGGTAGGCTGGCTTCACGCCCTTCACCACTTCTCCCAGTTCAGCAAAAATCTCAGCCTGTGAAATACATACACACCAATCCAGGCATGAAGCTAGAAGTCTACTCAGGGCCCAGTGCCAAAGCCAGCTCAGGGCATCTCTGAACCGGACAAAGGATAAACTGATAAAAGGACCATTGGTAAGCTGGAAAATTTCAGGGAGAATGCTGCCCCCTGAAATCCTTTTTTGGGTAGCATCTGCCTTTGTGATACCAAGTTTGTGCCTGGGGGACTGTCCTGCCAGGTCACTGTGACAGTGAGGAAACAGGCATGTGATTATCTGAACACAGCTTGAACTCCTTATGCATTTCAGGTACATGTGTGTGCCTGTGACCAAGGGGGTGGACTGCAGCATAAGGACCCTGTTGAGGTTGCTTGTCTCCTCCCACTACTTTTCTGGAAGAAATGGGCAGATTTTAAAAAAAAAAAAAAGGTTGTGAGATGTTTAGGGAGTTACTTCCCCATAAGAAGTTGGGGTGTCCAAGGTCTAGAGCAGGCCAAAATGGAAAGGAATTTAATAGAGCCCTGGCAGGGGTGAGAGGAGGCTCACCCCTGACAACAGGACATCTCCCGACTCCTTCAGGGCAGCCTCGTGCGAATCCACATACAGCACAGCCTGCTTCATGAGCTCATCATCCAGTTCTCTCCAGTCGGGTCTGCTGGCACCGATAGCTAAGAGACAACAACACAGACCCTAAGCCCAGAAACAGTCCCAAGGGATACTAAAAAGGGCAAAGCAAAGGAAGAGGCGAACACAGGGCATGCAGAAACATTCAGATTTGGAGTACTCTCTATTCCTCATGCTGAGCTCCTCCCATTTGGCAAGACTGAATGCTCATTAAGGTAATACCTACCATTTCCCCCCCTTTCCATTTCATACCCTGCCTTGTTCCTGAAAGAGGCAACCTAGCACCCACTTACTGGGTGCCTACTCTCTGCAGATATTTTACACATATTATTTTATTTATGGTCTTCACAAGTACACTTTAATGCTGGATTTCCATTTAACAGATGCACAAATTGAAGCTCAAAGAGGTGAACTTACTTGCCAAGGTGATGTACCTCATAAGCAAATCTGTGTCTGAGAGAGAGCCATGGTTTTCATGCCTCGTTTGCTCTTCAGAGATGATACATTTCTTATAAAGATCTTGAGACAGAGATATCATGTAGTACTTACTTACACCCACATTCTACTTTGTCTGCTTGCTCTTCCTCAATCATTCCCATTCCTCACACTCAACCTCTCTTAACTCACCATGAAGGAGCCCAGTGTCAGGTTCATGAGGAAGCCTCAGTAAAAAGAAAACTGGCTCCATCTTTCACTCCCTTTGAGCTTTCACTGCCTCTGCAGAGCCCTACACCAGATAAATCAATCGAAGGCATCGTACCTCCAGGCACTGGACACAGGATAATGCAGAGGCTGCAACCAAATGCTTGCAGGACCAGGCAGGAAATGAAATGAAGCATGGCTGATCAGAAAGACTGGATTGGAAACGGTGGAGACTGAGGCACAGAAGAAAGCAGCCCTTCTAAAGGGGGCAGTCATCATTCAGCTCCAGCTAACTGTTGCCATGTGTGAATGCAGGTCTACCGTGACCAGATATTCCTTTTTTTTTTTTTTTTTTAAAGAAAGAAGCAGGAAGTCTATTTACATGTGTTATTTCTGATTTTCAGAACACTTCAGAACATGCTGTGGTCCAAACATAACACATCTGCTGGCTGGATCTAGCCCGTGACCAGCTAGTCTTTGAACTCTGCTGCTATAAAGCCTTAAACAAATAGAAAGCAGTATTTATGTGCTTCCTCACACCGCTGACCAGTTATTTCTACTTGTCTTCTCTCCTGCTGTTCTCTGTCACTCTAATTTCCAAAGAGAGTGTTGTAAAAATGTCCATTGTGAAGGTTGTTTGTGCAGGGAGTTCTATAGAACAAAAGTACTAGCTAACAAGGCTTGTAAATAAATCATAAGCTGTGGGAAAAAAATCCAGTTTCTTAGGCCACCCTTTCTCACTGTACTGTTCCCCCCTAGATGGCTGCTGCATAGGAATGGGCGAATTCTCAAAGGGTTGTGTGAGGCCACTTGGGCAGATGGAGGTGGGCCAGGCAGCAGATGGAGGGGCCTTGCTCAGTGGGGCTAGAATGAGAGAGGGTCAGAAAGCTGGTTGATGGGGTTGGGGACAGGATGGAGAGGAGTGAGGAACTTGGAATTGGGCCTGCTTCTCAGTTGAGCTGAGATGATATGAAGCCTAAACTAAGTAAAATCTGTTGGCATAGCTCTGTTGTCTGTACTTATAATGAATTTTTTCTCAAGCATATCTGTTGCCTCTGTAAATAGTATACATAGACCAATTTTGTCCCTAGGCCAGGGATACGTAAGAGATGCTTTGACTCAAAATCAAGTCAGCCCTTCCTGGAGAAAGATTCAAAGTGCGAGAAGGAGTCCAGCATGAGAGAACTTCTCCATTGCTGAATTTGAGGATGTGAGCATCTCCAGGAGCTGCAAGTGGCCCCAAGGAAATGGGGTCCTTCATCCTACAACACCAGGAACTGAATCCTGCCATAACACGTAGGCCTTGAAGAGGACCCCAAGCACAGATCAGACTGCAGCCACTAACCCATGCTCAGACTCCAGTTTCACAACAGAAACTGTGAGATAAGGAAAGAAGAAAGGGAAGGGAAGAAAAGGAAAGGAGAGAGGAAGGGAGGGAGAGAGAGAGAAGGAAGAAAGAAAGAAGGAAAGAACAGACAAGAAGGAAAGGAAGAAAATAAGGAAGAAAAAAAAGTCAGTCAGTCTTGCTGAAGACTCAGTTCTATCCTTAAGAACCATTTCACCAAGAACTGGCACCTTTGATTTCCCAGGGCCTTCCAGAAATGGTCTTATTGTCCATAAAACCAGCCCTAACCCCTCTCACCTAACAGCTAATCTACATTTTACCTACTCCCTGGACCCAGATCTAGCCCCAGCCCCATGTAGGCTGAGACTTTCAACTTACTTTGGTCCATTCCTCAAACATGCTATGTTCACATCCACCCACAGGAGCCTCTGGACTTACTGTTCCCTATGCCTTTCCTTCAGCTCTTGGCATGGTTGGCTCTTACCATTCATGTCACAGTTCAAATATCACCTCCCCACAAAGCTTCTCAGAAAATCCCAAGTAGTTCCCCTTATCTATGGGAGTTATGGTCCAAGACCTTCAGTGGATGCCTGAAACTTTAGATAGTATTGAATCCTATATGTTTTTTCCTATATATTTACCTTTGATAAAGTGTAAGTTAGGAATTAGTCATGGTAAGAGAGTAACAATAACTAATAATAAAATAGAGCAATTATAATAATATACTGTATGTGAATCTGGCCTCTCTAAATTGCTGACTGTACTGGACTCACCCTTCTTGTGATGATATGAGATGATACAACGCTAAATACTGAGATGAAGTGAGGTAAATGGCAGGCCTTGTAATGTTTTAGGCTACTACTGACCTTCTGACATTATGAGGGGGTCTTCAAAAAGCTCATGGAAAATGTGTATTTTAAAGAAACTATGGATGAATTATAAAATTTTTTGCATCAAAATAAGCTCATACTTTAATTCCATCTTTCCATGAGCCTTATAAAATTCCCCTCATATATTCAAAGGAGGATCATCTGCTCTTGAATCATTTTATATTTAATATTTGGACCATGATTGACCATAGGTATCAAACTACAAAAAGCAGAGCTATGAATGGTGGTGGGGGGGGTAGCTACTGTACCTAATTCTATTCTCTTCTGACTACTTCTGCTATCAGGCTCTATCACACAGTGTCTTGTTTCCTTCACAGGCTACATCTCTTAGTTCATCTGTGTGTTTGTCATTTCTCTTTCCTCACTAGAATGTAACCACCTGGAAAGCAGTGACCTTGAGTGCATGCTTTATCTGGCATTCCCGGCATCCATACCAGTGCCTGGCACATGGGAAGGACTCCATAAACATCTATGAATGATGCATAAGAACTTCACTTGGCTCTTCCCTGCTCATCTACACTGTGTGCAGAGCTCTTGGCTTCTGTTTGAATCATCACTGAACATGGGCTACCAATAAAAAAATCCTCTATTTTTTGCCTGCTCTGCTGACTAGAATCCAGTCTTATCTTCCAATCTATGGTCAAAGCATAGATTGTCTCACTTGAAATCCCAGCTCTGCCACTAAGAACCTCTGACTTTGGGCAAGTTACTTAATCTCTCTATGCTTTGGTTTACCCATCTGTAAAATGGGGGTCATGATAACAGTTCCTACTTCAGTTCCTTGTTGTAAGGATAAAATGGTATAATACATATAAAGAGTGTAGAACAACATCTGTAATAGTCAAATATTTGCTATAACCCCCTAGAGCCATTTGAGGTTCTTCAGAGGCCTCAGGCATCTCATGTTTATCATCTCTGTCCCTCTCCCCAATCTAAGCACACATATTAAAAAGCATCCACATATTTTATTAAATGTCTCTATACTGTGACTTTTAGGGGAAAGATATTTATAATTCTGCATGTCAGCAAAAACAATTGATTCTCCTGGTGTTGTGATTTAAACTTCATCACATTGAAGAACTGAGTATGACTATTTGCCATAGTGTTACATTTTACAGAACATTCATTAAACTAAGTATTTACTAATTTCAGGCTTTTCTTTTTGCACTTTGCAGAGAGTATCAGTCTTCAGGGCTCACATGTTTCTGAGGCCCTTCAAAAGTTTGAGCATTCTGTGTAAGGAGTGAACAAACTCAGCAGTTGCAGCCCCTTGGTCCAGCCTAGTGGGAATCTAGTCACCACTTCCCCATCACTCACAGTGCCACTCTACTTACCATTGATGTGAGCCCCTGGCTTTACCCATTCACCAAACAAAATGGGCTCAGTTGCCATGGTAACAGTGATGATCACATCAGCATCTGTCACAGCCTCCTGGACTGATGAACAGACTCGTACCTCTCCTTGCACCGTGACTGCAAACTTTTCTGCATTTTCTTTGGTGCGGTTCCATATCCTCACCTTTATTGGGGGTAACAAGATGGACATTGGTGCTATATTTTGGATGTTTATGTTACATTGAGCCCAGGGGTGCCAAGGGACAGTTGAACCACTCTGGAATAGAACCTGTATGCATCTAAATCATTCTCTATGCAGAATGGGCATGTGATCAAGGGTGAATCTGGACAGACGCTAGGCCATGTAATAGAAAATGAGCTTCTACCACTTTCCCCTTTAAATAAGGGTGGGCAATTTTTCAATTCTAGACCAGGACACACAGTCTCAATAGCTTGATAGCTACTATATAGCTTAGGGATTAGCACAGTGCAATACAGGGCCAAGCAAGCTTAGAATCAATGTTTGCTTTGTCATTTACTGCTCCTGAAATTACATAGCCTCATTCGGACTGGAAAATAGGAACGGTAACTGGACAAAGTCAGCATCAAACTCACACTATGTTTGAAACTCTATAAAGGAGTCATAGCTGGTGCAAGACTCATAGAAAGGAGTATTTATGGCTGTGCTTTGCATGGAGTAACCTGATATTTGAAGAGTAAGTAGGAAATTAAAGCTCAGAGAGTTTGAAGGTCAATGGTGCAGCTGATGAAAAGGTGAAAAATGGAAGCTACAATTAGAATCCTGGAAGGTGTTGGGAAGTTGGCCAATGACCTCACCAGAAGCTAGAAACTTGCTAGCTTGCTTAGCAGGTTTTAACATCTGGGGTGGGAGTTGTCAGCCTTCAATTAAAAATATGCCCTCAAAAAACTGTCAGAAGAAAATATAATAAATGTAGAAATAGGGGCCAGACAGTAATGCAGGAATAACCAACACTCTAACACATGGGAAGGTGCTAGGTTCAGATCCTGAGGCCTTCCTGGACACACTGGGTAGGCGCATGTCCATGGTTCAGGCTGGCTATAGCTGGGGGTGGATTGCAGCATGTTAGAAGTGTATGCCCCCTCTAGGAAATAAAACAACTTTAAAAAAAATAGAAACAAATTTAAGGTCTAAATAAGTTCATCAATCAAGGTGAAAACATCATGCCTACTCATAAATGAATTGTTTTCTCAATAGAAAACAATGTAAATATTATGTGAAAAACAGATAATCTGGAAAAGTGATGATGTTAGAGTATTCAGTGAAAAGACAGGATATGCAATTGTGCACATCTAATGATTAAAACTATGTCATAAAAAGCCAAGAGTAGGGAGAAAGAGAAAAATGGGAAATATTAACTTCTTGTCTTTGAAAACAGATAAAAGGACATTTTTCTTGTTTTCTTCCTTATAGTCTATGTTTCCCATTACAAGTATTCTCTTTATTATAACAAGTCATATTTTAGGGACCAGGTGGTGATGCAGCAGTCATGTAGTCAGATCCACATGGAAAAGGCTCCCGCCTCACATCTCAGGACTTCCCTGAACACACCAGGGACCCAGGCTGGGTGAGGATGGGGGTGAATCACAGCACGAGGACCCTGTTGGGGATGCCCCTGTGTATGTGTCTGTTTCATTGAAGAAAGAAATGAATGCACTTGGAAAAATACTTTGAATCTGTTCTACTTCTCTTGTGCACATACATAATATAAAGATAGTATCACACATTCCCAAGAGGAAGTGTCAGTCACAATAGGGAAAAGGTGGGCCACAGAAGCCCTGTGGAATCCATTTTCAAGGCCTCAGCCCCAGTTCTTGGATCCATAACATTGAACACTTAAAGACTCTCAGGTCCTCCGAAGAGAAACAGAGAGAGGAGCTGAAAGGACAATGGAATGTATGCCATGGATATTACAGAATCCTTTAGCAAACCCAGGAGGCTCACTGTGTCCTCAAGCTTATGTTCTGTGAACTAATAAACTATTCACCTCCATCGCCTCCACCAGGAATCCTGGGGAGGTCATGAAGGTAAAACAGTGGTCTACATTGGACCCTCGACCTAACAATTTCAGAATAATCCGTGTTGCAGTGAAGGAGTGAGAGAGATCACCAGCCACTTCCTCCCTTACTCTCCCACCCCCTCCGTACCTCTGCACCCCAACTTACCTCCTTAAAGGAGAACTGCTCTGTGAAGACCTCATAGTGGCTGTAGGCCTGGACCCCAGCCCCAAGGATGCACAACACCTCACTGCTGGGGGGTTTCAAGAACTATTTAAGAGAAATGAGATGGACAAAGTCAAGGGAGACACAAAAAGCCAGGTGAAAAGAAAAACAAACAAACAAACAAACATGTTTCAAATTTCAGGTGACTTTTGCCCTATCTTCAGCTCCCTCAAGAACTCACGGGCAATTAAGGATATTGAGTCACTTTGAGCTTCAGTTACCCTACTGTGTAGTGAGGAGCCTTTAATGAATACCTAATATTCCCAGGAGGATAGCCATGCCACAGTCCCTTCTCTTCCATTCTTCTCTAAGAACTTTGGGCACATGGCCAGGGATAATTTTCAAACTGCCAGGTCTGGGACAAACTGTGGTTGGCCATATGGGAGTCCAGTACCTTAACCACCTTAAGCTGCACAAGGTTAGCATAGATTGGTACATGCCTCCTCTGACCTACAAGAAACACTGGGTTTTTCAACTTTGACACTACTGACAATTAGGATGGACAATTCTTTGTGGGGGAGGGGGCTGCCCTGTACATTATAGGATGCTTTGCGGCATTCTTGGTCTCTATCCAGCAGTAACTCCCCTCGCTCACCCAGCCTGTGGCCTTTGTTATGACAACCATTAATGTTTCCAACCATTGCTAAATGTTTTTTGAGTCAGGAGGCAAAACTTTTCTCAATGGCACAGAGGAAAGACATCATTTGGCATATGTACTAAATAAGACCCTCTTCTGACTTTATTTAATTGAACAAAATTTGAGTCTGTTCTTTCTTACAGTGCAATTACTAAAATTCTGAAGTGTAACCTTGAAACAAAAAGTCTTTTTAAAAAAATTTATTTACTTATCTTTATTTTTCATTATTATTTATTTTGACCAGAGAGAGAGAAAGGAAAAGTGAGAAAGCAACCTCCCATTATATGGGAGTCCAGCCCCTTAACCACCATGCCACCTGCCAGCCCTGGTGGACATGGAAAGTCTTAACTATTAACTACTAGCAAAAAAGGGGTTTTTCTTTTCTTTTTCTAATTGCCAGGGGGCACATGTACTTCCTGGAGAAAGAGAAGAGAGAAGAAAGCACCTCCCCATGGGGCATGGTCATGGCATGATCCCTTCTCTTCCATTTCTCTATCCTGTTGGAATTTGGGGTACATATACATGCTGAATATATTTTTCAAACTGCTAGGGATGGGAGTTGAACCTCAGTCAGCCACATGGGATCTGGTTCCCTTAACCACTAGGCTACAGCACCAGCTCTTCTCCAACTCACTCTCATGCCATGTTCTCCTGCACATCCTGTCTTCCATCCCCAAGCATGCATGCCTCCTTCAACCACAGGGTCTTTGCACAGGTTCTTTCCTCTGCCTGAAATGCTCTCCTTTTTGCTTCTCACGAGTAACTCCTGGTATTTTCTTCAGATCTCAACTCAAATATGTTACACAGGGGAAAAGTGTCCCTACATTCTGGACTAATCAAGAGTGCTTGGTTTTATGCTCTCATGGCACTGTGAGGGTTGTAGTTTCACATTTACTATTGCAATCTCTGGATTGCTAGCTTGTCTTCCCACTGGACCCTACAGTCTACAAGGGCAGGCCCTATACCTGGATTTTCTCACTATTCTTTGCTCCATGTTCAGGACAGGGCCTGGCACCTGGTGAACAGTAAAATATTTGTTATAAATGCATGCCAGGGATAAACTCTGAAATATCTTGTCACCTTGAGAAAGCATGTGAGAGTTCTCTACTAAGGTTATGTGAAATTCACACAAAGAAGTCACTGAGTCTGACAGATCCCAGAGCCTCCTATATTTCTCATCTTCCTCCCCAAAGACCTAAATAAAAGAGACGTGGTGGACAATAAAACATTCTTCTCTCAATAAGAGAAGAAGTAAAATAGACCATTTGTTCCTTATTGAAATAGCCCATCTGAGCCCCTGAGAATGAAGCTTTCAGCCTGAACTTTGAAGTTTTAGCCTAGATTTTGAAGTGTCAATCCAAGGTTTCTTGACCCTTCTGGAAGTGCAGATTTTCATTAATGCAACAAAGAACAGTGTTACTGAGGGCTAGACCTACAGCAGTGTGGTTCCCAAATCTGGTTGAGATCAGAATCAATTATGAACTATTAAAAACAAAGCCAGTTTCCTGGCTCTCCCAACCCCCCAGCGATTATTTTTCAGTTGGTGAAAATTCAATATATTATCATTATTTTTTCTTCTAGGTTTTTCCATAGGGTGCACGTGCTCGCCAGAAAGACAGTGAGAGGGAAAGCAAGAAATCCCCGCAGGGAGGATGGCCATGCTGCAATCTCTTCTTTATTTTACTCTCAGAATTTGGGGCATGTACACATATTCACCCAGCATGATTTTCAAGCCACCAGGCACAGGACTTGAACTGTGGTCCACCATGTGGGAGTCCAATGCCTTAACCATCATGCCACCTGCTAGTCCCCAAAATTCAATATATTATTATTTTTGAGAGGTTTTTGCTATAGGGCATGTGCGCTCGCCAGACAGACAGAGAGAGA